GCGGCTGGAAGATTCCTGAAATTTTAATATTTGATCCTCTACAATTTTGGGGAAAGCTGCTTCCAGCACCGGGGCCCCTAGTAGACGGAGCGATTGGTCGTTAATAATTTTAATATTAGGAGCCAAAATATTAAATTTAGAATTTAGTTCATGGCGAGACTCTGCCGGTAGCCTTTCGCTGAAATACAACTCGCATTTAGAAAAATTTAACTGTAAGCCAATATCACTAAACGATTTTGTGATTTTTTCTAAATCTGATAAAACAGAAGTAGCGTCTCCGCCCAAGGTCCCGTCGTCTAAATACCATATATTGAATTTTGAAGACAAATTTTTGATGTGGGGGTGTATTGCCAGACTGAATATTGCCGGTCCGAGAGGGTCGCCTTGCTGACAGCCAACAGCGGATTGTATCACTTGACCATTATAAGCGAGGCTGGTTGATCCGCTGTAGCATTGCCAGAGGTAAGCAAAGGTGTGTGGTATATGGTTCTTTGCCTGGGTCAGCAAAACGCCCCTGTCCAATGAGTTGAATAATATATAGTTGAATAATATTATATAGTTTATAGTTTATGTTTGGGTAAAAGTGGGTGATTTGAGCGATCATGTGCGTTTGGTACGAGGTGTATCGTGTATTAGTGCTAGACAGATCAGTTCGCCTGTTGTGTGGATTCTTCAATTCGTAGCTATCCCGGCAGCTTTTCACAGCAATAATCTAAAGCTAAATAATACTTTTGCACACACTTTTAATATTAGCGCTTGAATTATGCATCACATCAGTATAGTTTGAGTGTATACAAAAGTCACATTTATACAATATTCGTGCGAATATATCAATAATAATGGAGCCCGTCGTGTTTCACGCAAACCCATTACAACGGATAAAACATTTTACGGCTCAGTTCACTGTGTAATGCCAACCCAAACTTATTGAATAGGGAAATAGGGATCCAATAAAAATCCTGTCAAACCCAAGTCGCTCCGACAGGTGCGCTGTGCGTAATCTGCCTCGAGCCGACTTTCTGACGTGACGGAGGCGCGGGTCGCGGCGGCCGCGGATTGGAAAATTATCTCTGATTTATTTCACACCTGACTGCTTACGATTTATTCATGAGCTTTCGGACCAGGTCGGGTCTCGGGACACATCGACTTATTATCACAATTGTTTTTTCAAATTTAGGAAAGTGTTTTTCGTATGTTTATTTTGCATCGGAGACTTACATTATCCCCTCTGAATTTCTAAATTGTATTATTTTTAAAACGCCTCTAGAAACGATGTGAGGTAAAAGCTAGTGTCACAGATAATATATGTTGAGGTTCCTCAGTGAAAGGGTAGGTGGCATTACAGCGCGGCTTCCGTAATTGGTAATTAATTAACTCTATACGTCGGCGGCAGACAAACTCGACAATGGCGTTCGCGCTTCGCCTCATCGCTTCGTTATAAAGGCGCCTCACAATGTTTTAACGTAATGAAAAGTTTCAACTTTATTAGCGGTATTATCGTAAATAATTTTGTTACATGAGTTTATAGCAAGCACACATGAGTTAAAAGTAGTCATAACTAAATCTATACTACTGTAACTTTGGACTTGATTAGTCCATGAACATTTTAGATTTGATGAAATGGCATTGAATTTAAACCATTTTCATATACGTTGGTGATACTGCCCGTTGCCAGTTAAATTCATTGCGGAAGTTTGGCTAGCGAAGTCAAGTCCACACTGTTGGTGGCTATAAACAACTAAGATTATGTCTCACGAGGGAGTCCCCGCTTTGCATTTACTGTTGCCGAGCTAGTTGGCGTTGCTGTTGCACTTGTGGTAATGATACCTAGGTGCCATAGAGTCAAATTTAAAACGTCAATATTGTAGTCATATTAAGTTTTACTAAATAAACTCATAATAAAGATTAATGTAGTAAAATTTATTTTATAACCTCCTTGAATACTAATTAGGATATAATAAGTTACTTTACTCGATTTAAAGACAGCTTAGTTTATTATTGACAATAAAATCACGCAATTATATGTTTCAAATATTCACCATAAAAATAAACTTTGAAACTTATTGTATATGTAAGATGAGGTGAAGCAAAAACTTTTAGAAGGGAAATCCCGAATACATCATGGCCGTTCATATTGAAAGATTTTTTTATTTAAAGAAAGAAACTGATATTTTGCGTAACAAAATTTCGCCGAATAAACTTTGAGGACAACGCGGGACCCGCACATATTATGATAATATGGTTTTGATGTTATATTTTAGTTGGAAAAATCGATATATACTCACACGAAGCATTTATCTTCATTTACTATAAGTTTCCACTGGCGAAACATATTTAAAAACATTTAATCATCTCTGTTATTTCAAAGCAAACTAGTGAAATGTCAATATGATTTATTATAAGGGTTTCAACAGTGAAAACGCACGGTAATAAGCAAGTCTAACAAAAATTTACATAGTTGTAATGAAATTCAGAGGTTATTTTCAAGTTAAGCAGTCGGCTACACATCTAGGGGGATTTTATGGAACGTTAGTCGTGTTTATTGTGTCGGTTGGCGAGGCCGGCCGTGTTGCATGCCAACGAACCACATCAAAATAAAAATTATAAAAAGTTTTTATTATTTTTAGTTTGTCTAGACTCTATAGTACGATCATGCCAGTATTGAAATTAAAAATAGCAACATTTTAACTTGAAACATAATATAAATATCAACCAAAAAATACAACTTCGGTATATATTACACCTTTTGTAATTATAATACTAGACATAAAATATATTCCTGGCAACTTGAAACAAATAAAATTCAATTTTGAGGATGAAATTAGGATTAAAAAAAAATTAAAGTTTGATTAAGTATATTATTGTACTAGTATTATTAAATTTCATTGCTAACAATATAAAGTGGTACAACGTAGCATAATTTATAGCATTTATTACGTATCTATTTGAAAAATTCTATAAAAGGTTGCGCGATACCGACAGCGGAAGGTTTAAGAGGCTGAAGACAGATTACATATCATTGCACTTGTTGAAGCAACAAGCGTTTCTTATTATTTTTATTGAATCCTACATTTTGTTCAAAAGATTGAGTACAGTTGAACATTGTAAAGTAAAAATCAATCTTAAGAAAGAATCACAAAAGAAAGTTTCACGATTTTAGTTACCATGTTCCTTCGAAACGGCTAGACTGATTTTTATGAAATTTTATATACATATTCAATCGGTTTGTAGGCCAGTAGGAACCGGCTACATCTATTTTTTAATCCCGTGCGGACGGAGTCTTGGGCAACGTGTTAGTAATTTATCTTTTCCCAAAACCAAAATAAGTTCGATGTTTTGTGCTTAGTTCCTTTCCGCTTTGTTAATATACATTTTACTGATCGCCTATGTTTTCTACTAACACAAAAAATAAGAGTAAAAACCTTAAGCTGTGAAAAAAATTCGACTAGAGAGAGTAAAATATTTTTCATGACATCATTAATCAGACCTAATCGGTTCCGGGGAATCTTTTGAGCGTCGCACAATGAGCCACTTTACCTCATTAATAAAAGGATGGTAGACTCAATGAGTCGCGCCTGCACTCGGCATATTCCGATAATTATTTCACTGTCAAGGACCCTCACACGCGCTGTAATGTAGGACCATAGCACCTAGAGAACAAAGAAGGCTTATTTTAATTAAATCAGGAAAACATATTTGGATTTGTTTTGTATTTAATTTTTCTGTTACAAAAAATGAGTTTGTCAGAGCAACTGATAATAAAATTATCGATACTTCTTTTTTTGTAAAACGCTTGAAGTTAACGATACGTATACTTTCGGGTATTAAGGTAAGGAAGAGCTTAAAATTAAGTATATAAAAGGTTATTTACTCGTTTATTATGTACACGAACTCTAAAAAGATTACTCTGAACATTTAAACTCTGTCTCATTATATAATTCTGTATGAAATGTAAAGTTTTGTTTTGTTTTGAACAAGTGCAAATAATAGCATTGTAACTGGTGGAAACGTTCACTTTATTTACATAATCCTTGTTTTCCGACCAGAAACTTGGCCGTGTAATTACTTGAGCACTTATGTACAATAAGCAAGCGGAGATTTTAATGTTTACTTTCTTGTACCACTTCTGACGTTCCTACTGGAAACGTATTCAGTAAAATTATAACAAAAAAAACAATATTATTTATGACTAGCTGTAGCTCGCAACTCCGTTCGCGCATAATTAAAAAAAATAAATAAATAAGTAGCACATGTGTTCTACTAGACTATGTTCTACATGTGTGTAAAATTTCATCAAGATCAGTTATGCTGTTCCGGAGATACCTTTTAACAAACAACCATCCATCCCTCTATCTAAACTTTCGCATTTCATTTGATGCTTTTTAATATTAAAACTAATAGTGAAACAATAACACAGAGAAATGAAAACGAAAGCGAAATAAGATATAAGTGGAAAAAACAGGAATGTCTGTAGATTGAGGCTTACGTTTTTATAAGTGTAATAAAGCATCCTTGCATACGTCAACGACGATATTGAATTTTTTCAATTCGTTGGTTTGGAAACGAAATAAATTGGACGCGAGCAAAAGATAGAATTGAAGTAACGAC